AACCAGAAATATTCTTGATAATTCTATCAATAATTGGTTGTAGATCTTCTCTCCTCAATTTGTCATAGTGCACATGCACTCCCAAGTATTTGATAGGAAAAGACCCCAACTTACAACAAAAAATTTGAGCAAAGGTTTTAGACTGCTCCTCCACATTTATGGTGAGTAAATCACCCTTGTGGAAATTAATTTTCATACCAGATAGGTTTTCAAAACAGGATAAAATCCACTTAAAATCCCTGGCTTTGTCATATGAATTCTCTAGAAAGAGAAGTGTATCATCAGCATATTGCAAGCTGATCACTCCCCCGGGGATAATGTTGGTCAGAAGACCGGATATCAGGCCATGTTTTGAAGCCTTGATTAGCATTTTGGAGAAAACATCAGCAACTAAATTAAAAAGCAAGGGGGAGAAGGGATCTCCTTGTTTGAGACCCCCCCCCCATAAAGTAAGGCCCAGTAGCATCATTGATCCTCACACTAAATGTACTCTGCAAAAGAGTTGTTTTAATCCCAAAAAATCCATTTTTGCCCAAAACCTCTGGAACTAAGCATTTCAAAAAGAAAGTCCCAACTTACTCTATCATATGATTTTTCATAGTCTAGTTTGAGCACAAGCCCTTGTGAACCAAATTTCTTAACTTCATGAATAACCTCACGTGCCAGGACTACACTTTCAAGTATATATCTTCCGTTGATAAATGAAGTTTGATTGGGAGAAATCATTCTATGACTGATAGGGGAAAATCTATTAGTCATAGCTTTTGTAAAAATCTTAATAGCACAATTGCTAAGACTGATAGGTCTGAAGTTCTTCATGTCTTTAGCATTCACCTCCTTTGGGATCAACACCATCAGAGCAAAATTAAGTTTATGAATATCTAATTTGCCCTCCTCAAAATCTCTAACCATGGCCATAAAGTCTTTTTTAATTACCTCCATGAAGGTTTTATAAAAGAGGAAAGGCAAGCCATCAGGGTCAGGCGCTCCATGTGCATAAGAGCCAAAAATGGCTTCCTTAATCTCCTCTTCAGAAAATTTTCTTTGTAGCATTTAATTTTCTTCTATCGTAACCAGCTCATCTTCCTCCCAGAAGGAAGGGCCAAGATGAATATCATGTTCTGCTTCATACCCAAAAAGAATTTTATAAAAAGTAGTAGCTACATATAGCATTTCGTTAGTAGTAAAAACAGGGCCAGAATCCCATTTAGCTCAGTCAAATGATTTTTTTTCTATGCCTGTGATTGGCAAGCGCATGAAAATAGGCATTATTTTTCTCTCCATCTTTAATTCTACGATCCCTCGAACGTTGCCACAAGGCAACCTCCTCCTTACGCAAGATATCATCAAGCTCTTTTTTAATATCCCGCATCCGAAGCCTATCCGCATCCGATACACGATTTGACTCGGCAAAAACATCTAGGATATCAAATTCGTGCATAAGGTCTCTCTTCTTTTTCTTAAGAGCAGCTTCAATATTAATACTCTGGCCTTTAGCCTTTTTCCAAACAATTTAGCTTTTTATAACCAAACATCAATAGCAGTCCTCCCCACCACTAGGGTATTCCACACCTCTATAAACATAGTTTTAAATTCTGGGTAGTCAAGCCACCATTTTTCAAACCGAACTGTTTTGGGGGGAGGTAACCCTCCTAGCTCATGTGTCTAAAATCAGGGGGTATGATCACTACCAATTCTGAGTAAAGCAATTAAACCGGATAAAGGAAACTGAGCATCCCAAGAAGGGGACACAAAGACTCTATCAATAGCAGCAAAAACAGGATCATCCTGATTATTACTCCAAGTAAAACTTCGATTAGCAATGCTAATTTCCATAAGACCCCACCTATTAATCCAATCATTGGAAAGGAAGGCAAGTTGATTATTAATGATGCCATTGCTCTTATCTGTAGCACATCTCACCAAATTAAAGTCTCCACCCAAAATCATAGGATATGTGAGATTTGTCATTACATCATGTAGTTCAGCAATAAATTCCATTTTCAGATCATTGTAAGCAGTACCATACACAGCAACAAAGTGCCAAACAAAACCATCTTTTTTGTTCTTAACAGTAGTCACAACACTGTATGTTTTATTAATAAAGCCAATTATCTCAAACAGATCATTATTAATCCCCACAAGGATCCCACCAGCAGTGTTAATAGCAGGGAATTGTTGCCAAGAAAAATCATTTCTACCAGCAATTCTCCTAATGGTAATATCATCAATTTTTTCCCTCTTGGTTTCAAAGAAACCAACAAAATCAGTGTGATTGTTATTAGTAAAATCCCCTAGGCATTGAATTTTACCTGGTTGTCCTAGACCATGAATATTCCAAAAGGAACCTATCATTGGATTTTAAAAGGGTGAGATAGGCCACAAGGCACATTCTTACAAAGAACAATTGGATTGTTTACACCCAGATCAACAGTGCCCCCTGATCTAGAGTTGAAAACATGACCAGAAGGGGTATAGGCCCTCTCAGCAGCATATGTGGAAATATCTAAATCATGCGGTAAAACAATTTCTGGATTCTGGTCAGCAAATTGCAGGCATCTTAATTTCTCCCTATCCACAATGTCCATTATAATTCTCTTTTGATCTAAGCTACTTTTTCCAACACACAAGTCAATCTTATTAATTTGTTCGGCAAGAGTTTGGGTATCAGTGGTAGCAAAAGATTTACCTTTGAAGGAGATAGGAATTTCCAAATTCTTCTTCTGTAGATATGCAGTAGCTTTCTCCATAATCTTGACATTACCATGGTTCCTAGTGATTGGTCTATTAGAGAGCACAGGCCCCCACCCCCACATTATTGTCCACATCACACTTCATCTTCTTGTCTGATTCAGCTTTCTCTAGTGTTTCCGGGAGTGATCTCTTAACAGATCCAAGGGCCACCGCCAGATCATCAGGTAAACATTGCATATCAGTTAAGCAGTGCTCCTCTTCCTCATCAGAGTCTTCCATTTCAAACTTACTTAACTGGGCAGAGCAACAGTCCATATGGACAGACAAAGGTTCAGAGCCAAATGTGGAAGGAGAACCAACAAGAGCCGGACAGGGACTAGAAGGGCTAGAATTCACAGGGCTTTTGTCTCTGATTTCTTCAATGAACTGTTCATGGAAGCAATCAACAAGTTTTGGAGGATGAAACTCAGCTGCAGAAACAACTACCATCATGTTCTTACTTTTAGCAGCAGAGATGTTCTTATGAGGGAAATTTGCTCTGTCAAGTTGATCAATAGGCTCATCACCATCCTCTTCCATCTTGTCCTTCTCAAATTGCTCATTACCATTATCTTCCTTTTTCTCTACAGCATTATCAATATAAGGATCACTGTCGTTAGCATCAGAGTTGTCTCGCGCCTGTTCAAATCCTTCCACGGTGAAAAATATCATATATAGCTTTTTCTTCATCTCCACCAATCTCTCAAAAGGAATTTTGGCAGGATCCCTACAAGCAACTTTAATTATGATAATCTCATAGAAACTTCTGAAAATCCCATTCCAGTCCACATCCACAAGGATGCCAAAACACGAAGCAACCTGTGTAAACACTTTCCATGCACACCACTTGGGAGGAATCCCCTCAACTTGTACCCAAGCTTCAGACAACTGACCAAACGCCTCCATCATTCCCTCACATTCACATATCTTAATAGAAACTCCATCAATCGGGAGGTCAAATGCAGGGAACTCAATCAGGTCTTCTACTTTTTTCCAAGGTGGGAATCTAAGTAGGTATTTCTTCTCCTCAAGCTCTCTAATTTGCCATGGCCAGTCTTTGTTCTTACAGAAAATACCATTTAGCTGGACCAATAAGCTAGAACACTAATCATTTTTTCCTTCACCTCTGATTAGCGACAACATGGAAGTAAGCAGTGTTTGTGCCATCCTCCATACTATCCTTATCCCTAGACCTTTCACCGGCGTAGTCTCCTATTTACTCCAAATGTCTCCTAACTCTAGCAGAATTTCATCCTTCCTGCCCTTATACCAACCTCAAAGAGGGTATTAGACTCAGTCTAAACGCCAGAGGATACTGTTTTGGGGACTAACAATATCGCTGGGTGCTACTTTGGCACCTATGGTACAGTCGTACAGTTGCTTTTGGTAAATACACCGCAGAGATGAACTATGTAGGAAAGTTTGCAAAGAACCCTGCGAACGTGGAATGCAACACCTCTGTTTCTTTATTTATTCCTAATTTTCCTCTGTTTCAGAGGGTGTTTGTTTCCATGGACTTATTGGTTTAGGGACTTAAAAAAGTCCCTATAAGTCACATCTAAACTAAACAGGAGGGACTTATAGAGACTTAAAGTGGGCATTTGGGACTTATGAAATAAGACTCTCAAGGAGAGTCTTACAGGAACTTATAGTTGTAATGTGGTCTTATAGGGACTTATAAGTCCCAGGAACCAAACAGGTAAGGACTTTTTAGAGACTTGAGACTTATAAGTTGGGATTAAAAAAAGTCCTAAGACTTATGAACCAAACAGGGCCTCAGGCTCAGGAATGCGTGCTCCTGTTAATATATTCTGTATTATAACGTTTTCAGAGCCAACACCTGTTCTGTTCGACTGGTACTCACTGCATTATTTTTAGATGAATCTCGTGACCCTATCTTGCGCTGAGCAGTGCAGACTTTACTAGTTTTCGTGCTTCCTTCAACTGATGCAATTTTTTTTTTGCGGGTTGTTTAAATATGCAAGCAATGTTCTAGTAAAAGACTTGGTAGGTGATGAATCAAATGCCCTTGCTCATTCTGCCTTAAATTACAGAGCTCAGACTATATATTACATGGTACATACGCTGGAGAAAGAAAGAGTACTTGATTCCCCATTCGATTTACACACACCACCCCAAAGAAGACACGGACACAGATACATTGCTGCTGCTTCTTCGACCTCCAGCCGATCCCATGCAATCCGTGCGTCCGATCTGATGCAATGCAACAACCCCTCTCCCACCACGCGCGCAAGCCAAAAATCGTCTTATAGGCCGAGCGCGCCGAGTGGCGTCTTGCCCTGTCCGGCCTCGAAGTAGAAGATGAGCATGGCAAGCATGGCGAGGCGCGAGTGCTTGATCTCGGCCACCTTGAGCCGCTCGAGCTTCTCGGTGTCGGGGATGTAGACGCCGTCCTTGGTCTCGCCACCGAGGCCGAGCGGGTCGAAGAACTTGCCGCCCGGGTACCCTTGCTCACCGGTGAAGTTGGCGAAGTTCTCGGCCGTGCGCGACCACGGCGTGGCCCACTCCACCGACTGGGAGTCCGGGTTGAAGAAGTCGACCCACCGCTTGGACTCCACCCACCCCATGAGCAGCAGCTGGGTGCCCAGGAGCGACCCGAAGGAGAAGGGCGCCACCGCGCCAGGCTGCGCCCCGGCCTCGAACCACGGCACGCCGCTGTACGCCTGCCCGATGAAGATGCCCAGGACCGCGGCCATCGCCCACCGCCCGTGGATCAGCTCGGCCTCCCTGTACCACTTGAGGAACGCCGGGTCCTTGCCAAGCCCCAGCGGGTCGAAGCCGAAGTCACCGGGGAGCCTGCACGTACGCGTTGAGTGAGTCTCAGAGTTGCTGCCATGGAGGCCTCCCCTCGCGTAGAGTGGGATTAATGCAGGGCGACGAACGAAGAGAAATACGAACGAGGAAGCCTTACGAGCCATCGAGCCAAGACGGGTTGATGAACTCGGCATCGCTCTTGACCGCGGGGATCCACGACTTCTTGCCGACGGCCGCGGCGACGACCACCACGCGGCGCGTCACGGGCTTGGCGGCGCCGAGGGAGGCGGCATTAGCGAGCGCGCGCCTCGCGCCGAGGAACGGGTTCTTGAGCACGGCCGCGGAGGCGGTGGCGGAGGTGGAGGCGAGCGCCATGGGTGCCGGTGTTGCTTCGCCGGTGACGGTGAGGTCGCTGACGCGCGCGGCGGAGTGGCAGCTAGGACGTCTGTTGGAGCGCGCAGGATTTGCAGGATGCCACGACGGTTTTGATGTTAAATCGTGGCGTTGCGGCGCACGGCAGCCACAAGATGTGGGCGGGGAAATCCTGGGGTGGTAGGATGGATAGAGCGCTGGCCAATGGGGAGCTGGCGCCATCGGATTCTGCTGCGCCGGTGGACGCCGCGTGGACAATATCCTGGGCTTTCATGCTCCTTGTGATCTGTGGGGACTGCCTGCCAATCGGACCGTGTCGTAGGATCTCCGTAGAGAATAGTGAAAGAAGATCGATCGATCCATTCACGGGCGTTATAATTGCCCGGTCATACGATGATGATCACCTTTGGAGATGGCACGACACATGGTACTAGTTTTCTACCATCAAATATTCTTCATATCGTTCCCAAGTTCAACACTAACAGTGAGATATGCATATGCATTATATGGGTAAGGCCAACTCCGACGCACACGGCCTCATCGAAACGGACAGAAATAGCGGCACAACAAGGCGACCCAAACGGATTGGTGTCTGTTTTTCGTCCGCCCACGGCCCACTCTTGGCCCAAATTCGGGCAGGGTTTGCGTGGGCACGGACATGAACCGAACGTGCACGGGCGTTCTTCCTGTTCTCCCCTTGGCCCGTCAGTCGGTGACCCGTACGCGTTCACACACTCCACCAGCCGCATCGCCACTTCGGAGGAGTTCTAGCCGGCGTTTGTAAACCCTAAACCCGCATCCACACACTTCCCCACCCGCCCCGCTGCTTCGGAGGAGTTTTTGTCGCGTTTGTTGCCTCTTTCTCGCCACCCCCGGTGCTAGAAATCCACGGTCGCCGACGCCGCCCGCCTCACACTCAAAGGTCGCCTGCTGCCCTCGTCTCCGCTTCGATGGGCCTGCTGCCTGTACTAGGAGGCCAGGGTGATCTTCAGCGGCCGCATCTCCACCACGACTGCAAGGTGTTTGACACTTCGCTCGCAAGGTACCATGGGTATTTGGATGACTATTCTTTCAGCAACTTCATTTGTTCATCGGACAATTTATCGTAAGACGATGAGGAGCTTGTGGTTGTGTCATTAGTCGTTAATGACCACTTTGCTAGGTAACTGCCGAGGTTCAGGGGATCAATCTCGGGCCATGCTCTAGCATTGAATCGCAACAGAGAGAGCGGCCATTTCCTACTTTTGTTGATTAACTACTATCGATGCACGTCCCCGCTCTTCAAAACCCATCTTTTCCGGTGCCGCTTCCGGATGGCGAGACATGTGTTCAACTCTATTCGGGAGGGAGTGGTAGCATATGATTATTACTTCGAGTGCAAGGATGATGCCCTTGGAAAGGTTGACTTTTCCTCTTACCAAAAATAATACACTGTGGCTATTCGTATGCTTGCATATGGAATTTCCGATGATCTCGTGGATAAGTACGTCCTCATTTAGCCTCTCTAATCCAAAACACCAATGGTGTGATTTTCCTTCTTGATACACTGGAGGAATTTAGGGCTCTTACCCCCCCCCCCCCTAGAATGGGATTTCAGAGAATTGCTCAAGGAGCACCAGATGAAAATTTTATCTGCACAACAAGCTTATTGGAAATAGAGAGCTACTATAAGATGGATCACCAAGGGGGAAACAAACTCTAAATTTCTCAAGGTTAAGGCCACTATAAAGTTCAGACACAACCACATTGCTTCACTTAAAGATGAGTTTGGCATTGTACATGAAGGAAATATGCCCTAGAGGCAATAATAAAGTTATTATTTATTTCCTTATTTCATGATAAATATTTATTATTCATGCTAGAATTGTATTAACCGGAAACATGATACATGTGTGAATACATAGACAAACATATAGTCACTAGTATGCCTCTACTTGACTAGCTCATTAATCAAAGATGGTTATGTTTCCTAACCATAGACATGTGTTGTCATTTGATTAATGGGATCAAATCATTAGGAGAATGATGTGATTGACATGACCCATTCCGTTAGCCTAGCACTTGATCGTTTAGTATGTTGCTATTGCTTTCTTCATGACTTATACATGTTCCTGTAATTATGAGATTATGCAACTCCCGTTTACCGGAGGAACACTTTGGGTGCTACCAAACGTCACAACGTAACTGGGTGATTATAAAGGAGTACTACAGGTGTCTCCAAAGGTACATGTTGGGTTGGCGTATTTCGAGATTAAGTTTTGTCACTCCGATTGTCGGAGAGGTATCTCTGGGCCCTCTCGGTAATGCACATCACTATAAGCCTTGCAAGCAATGTAGCTAATGAGTTAGTTACGGAATGATGCATTACGTAACGAGTAAAGAGACTTGCCGGTAACGAGATTGAACTAGGTATTGGATACCGACGATCGAATCTCGGGCAAGTAACATACCGATGACAAAGGGAACAACGTATGTTGTTATGTGGTTTGACCGATAAAGATCTTCGTAGAATATGTAGGAGCCAATATGGGCATCCAGGTTCCGCTATTGGTTATTGACCAAGAATAGTTCTAGGTCATGTCTACATAGTTCTCAAACCCATAGGGTCCGCATGCTTAAGGTTTCGATGACAGTTATATTATGAGTTTATGAGTTTTGATGTACCGAAGGAGTTCGGAGTCCTGGATGAGATCGGGGACATGACGAGGAGTCTCGAAATGGTCGAGACGTAAAGATCGATATATTGGACGACTATATTCGGAGTTCGGAAAGGTTCCGAGTGATTCGGGTATTTTTCGGAGTACCGGAGAGTTACGGGAATTCGCCGGGGAGTATATGGGCCTTATTGGGTCATACGGGAATAGAGGAGAGAGGCCGAAAGGAAGGAGGCGCGCAGCCCCCCTCTGGTCCGAATTGGACAAGGGGTGCGGCCCCCCTTTCCTTCCTCCTCTCCCCCTCTTTCCCCCTTTCTCCTACTCCAACAAGGAAGGAGGGAGTCCTACTCCCGGTGGGAGTAGAACTCCCCTTGGCGCGCCCCTCCTAGGCCGGCCGCCCCTCCCCCCTTTCTCCTTTATATACGGGGGCAGGGGGCACCTCTAGGCACAAGAACACAAGTTGATCTACGGATCGTTCCTTAGCCGTGTGCGGTGCCCCCCTCCACCATATTCCACCTCGGTCATATCGTCGCGGAGTTTAGGTGAAGCCCTGCGCCGGTAGAACATCATCATCGTCACCACGCCGTCGTGCTGACGGAACTCATCCCCGAAACTTTGCTGGATCGGAGTCTGGGGATCGTCATCGAGCTGAACGTGTGCTGAACTCGGAGTTGCCGTACGTTCGGTGCTTGGATCGGTCGGATCGTGAAGACGTACGACTACATCAACCGCGTTGTCATAACGCTTCCGCTTACGGTCTATGAGGGTACGTGGACAACACTCTCCCCTCTCGTTGCTATGCCATCACCATGATCTTGCGTGTACGTAGGAATTTTTTTGAAATTACTACGTTCCCCAACAGTGATAGCAGAGCCAAGTTTTATGCGTTGATGTTATATGCACGAGTAGAACACAAGTGAGTTGTGGGCGATACAAGTCATACTGCTTACCAGCATGTCATACTTTGGTTCGGCGGTATTGTTGGATGAAGCAGCCCGGACCGACATTACGCGTATGCTTACGTGAGACTGGTTTTACCGACGTGCTTTGCACACGGGTAACTAGCGGGTGTCTGTTTCTCCAACTTTAGTTAAACCGAGTGTGGCTACGCCTGGTCCTTGCGAAGGTTAAAACAGCACTAACTTGACGAACTTGAAGGAAATATGCCCTAGAGGCAATAATAAAGTTATTATTTATTTCCTCATATCATGATAAATGTTTATTATTCATGCTAGAATTGTATTAACTGGAAACATGATACATGTATGAATACATAGACAAACATATAGTCACTAGTATGCCTCTACTTGACTAGCTCATTAATCAAAGATGGTTATGTTTCCTAACCATAGACATGTGTTGTCATTTGATTAATGGGATCACATCATTAGGAGAATGATGTGATTGACATGACCCATCCCGTTAGCTTAGCACTTGATCGTTTAGTATTCTGCTATTGCTTTCTTCATGACTTATACATGTTCCTGCAACTATGAGAAATATGCAACTCCCGTTTACCGGAAGAACACTTTGGGTACTACCAAACGTCACAACGTAACTGGATGATTATAAAGGAGTACTACAGGTGTCTCCGAAGGTACATGTTGAGTTGGCGTATTTCGAGATTAGGTTTTGTCACTCCGATTGTCGGAGAGGTATCTCTGGGCCCTCTCGGTAATACTCATCACTTAAGCCTTGCAAGCATTATAACTAATAAGTTAGTTATGAGATGACGTATTACAGAACGAGTAAAGAGACTTGCCGGTAACGAGATTGAACTAGGTATTGGATACCGACGATCAAATCTCGGGCAAGTAACATACCGATGACAAAGGGAACAACGTATGTTGTTATGCGGTTTGACCGATAAAGATCTTCGTAGAATATGTAGGAACCAATATGGGCATCCAGGTCCCGCTATTGGTTATTGACCGAGAATGGTTTTAGGTCATGTCTACATAGTTCTCAAACCCGTAGGGTCCGCACGCTTAACGTTTCGATGACAGTTTTATTATGAGTTTACAAGTTTTGATGTACCGAAGTTTGTTCGGAGTCCCGGATGTGATCACGGACATGACGAGGAGTCTCGGAATGGTCGAGACATAAAGATTAATATATTGGAAGCCTATGTTTGGACATCGGAATGGTTCCGGGTGAAATCGGCATTTTACCAGAGTACCGGGAGGTTACTGGAACCCCCCGGAGGTTAATGGGCCTACATGGGCCACGAGGGAGAAGAGAGAAGGAGCCAGGAAGGGGCCGCGCGCCCCTCCCCCTCCTAGTCCGAATAGGACAAGGGAAGGGGGGCGGCGCCCCCCCCCCTTTCCTTCCCCTCTTCCTCCTCTTCCCCCCCTTTTCCTATTCCAACTAGGAAAGAAGGGAGTCCTACTCCCGGTGGGAGTAGGACTCCCCCCTTGGCGCGCCCTCCTTGGCCGGACGCCTCCTCCCCCTGGCTCCTTTATATACGAGGGCGGGGGGGCACCCTAGACACACAAGTTGATCTACGGATTGTTCCTTAGCCGTGTGCGGTGCCCCTCTCCACCATATTCCACCTCGGTCATATCGTCA